CTAGATGATCTGTAAGCTCCATTCCAAGCCCTAAATTCTTTGATTCTATGACTTTGACTCTCTTGTCTGATGTCTCCCAGTGCTGGCACTTAAAGAATCCTCAGAAGCATTGGAATTGCTAAATATTTCATGTTGGCAGCTGGATGAGAGACACCGATGTGTGTCCTCACTGAGGGAAAGGTAAAATCTAACATAGTAGAGCAAATACTTTGGTGCTGTGAGTTGTGGCAGCCTACGCAGCATCATCGCACCAAGCATCACGTTGTTTCTGGGAAGGAACCCACCTTCTCGTGTTCTCATGGAGTTGAAGGCACAAACCACTTCTGCCTCCCACCCCATCCCTTCCAGCTGCCACCTCAGCCCTTGGTTGCACGAGGTTTTTCCATTCCTGGCAGTATCCTCATAAGACATCACTAGATCTCTCCCCAGCCTGTTTGTATTAGTTTTGGAGTAGGGTTAAAGATTTACTTAAAAGTAGGTCTTCAATCTTACTTTGATCTGACTGTCATCCAGAGGAAGTTTACAGATGTTACAGATTATCAAAGAATGATTTTGTGTTTATAATGGACTTTGCTCAGGTACTTTCAAAAATTTAATTGTAGTGAGGAATCAGCAGTAAATGAATGCATTATATTGACAAAAAATAAGTTGTAATGCAACATGCAAAGCAGAATGCTTCGTTGATGCTTCAGAAAAGCAATGAGGCAGGTGCACAAAGTTCAACAGGTTGGCAAGTACAAGACCAGTTTCCATGATTTGATCCATTTCAGTGTAAGAATGTGAATCCCATTAATGATCCACTCCTTTCTCCTCACTGTATTAAGGAATCTTTTGATGAAAGTGTAACTTCCTCGGTGGTTTTATGGTCACTTGTAGCATTATGGACTTAAATTGATGGAGAGAAGATTTATGTTAGATATTAGGAAAACGTTTTCCCTGTGAGGGTGGTGAGACACTGGCACAGGTTGCCCCGGGATGTGGTGATTGCCCCGACCCCGGCAGTGTTCAAAGCCAGATTGGATGATGCCTTGAGAAACCTGATGTAGTGAGGAGGTGTCCCTACCCATGGCAGGAGGGGTTGGGTCTAGATGATCTGTAAGGTCCTTTCCAGTCCTTATATTCTATGACTATGAGATTGGAGCAATTGCCTAGAAAACAACAGTTATTATGTACTTTATAATAATGGAGGGAGGGATCAGGCATTGGAATGGGCTGCCCAGGGAGGTGGTGGACTCACCATCCCTGGAGGTTTTGAAGATGAGACTAGATGTGGCACTTAGTGCTGTGGTCTAGTAACCACAGTAGGGTTGGACTTGATGATCTTGGGGGTCTTTTCCAACCCGGTTGATTCTATGATTATTAGTTTTCAGGAAAAACTGAATTGGAATAATAAAAAAACCCCTAAGCCAAACCATAAAACCCATCGCTCTTGAATAAGTGTTCCTGATTTGGGTAAACCAAATGCTAGGTATTGTATATTTTGCTGTCAAATCATAGAATCATAGAATCAGCCGGGTTGGAAAAGACATCCAAGATCTTCAAGTCCAGCCCTACTGTGGTTACTAGACCGTGTCACCAAGTGCCAAATCTAATCTCATCTTTCACCTTTAGATTAGTCTCTCTTGAAATGGAAATTGCTGTGGTTAGTAAAATCTAGTTCCCTATGTCTGGGTAACCTTTCTGCAATATCACCTGAGTGTTTCAGTGAATTAGAAAATCCACGTGTGGAAGAGTTTTGTGACCCAGTTTGGCATTCGCCTGATGTGGGGCTGCATCTCTCTGGCATCTATGACCACCTCACTTTTAGGGGGGAATGTTGGGTCAGGACTTAACCAAACAGTCCAGCACAAAAAAAGGGCTCAGGCTGCTACTTTAAAAGGGCATTTAATGCTTTACCTTGCCAACTTGGTACCCTAAAGCTTAAATATCCTCTCTCTCTTTTCCAGACAGAAGCAGTCTCCGCCAGCCAAGAAACCAGCAAAAATACTTCACAATGGATGTAGACGATGAAGAAAACATGAGTAAGATGTGTTTATTTACATAGTAATAAAGTCCTGAATAGTTTCTGGAGGTGTTTTTTTTGTCACTGGCACAATGACTGCCAAGGAACCTCAGATGCAGAAATGGAGGTGATTTAAAATACGGTATGGAAGAGTGAATTGGAGCTTTTGCCTTAAAAGTGTTTTAAATATGCTAGTCTAGTTATACCCTTTATGTTATGCCTTATACCTTGTATTTTTCTTAAAACAGCTGACTAATCAAACAAAATATTTTTCTGTTTTGAACCAGCCATGAAGAAGGGAGAGGATAATACCAGTAGTGCCCAATGCCAGTAGTTAAGTAGCAGTAAGAAGGGAGGGATGAGGTGAAGGAGATGAAGTGTATAAAATAAAGGAGAGAAATCAGAAATAGAGAAAGGAAAAGGCAAAGGAGTAGCTGGAAGAGCTCCCTCATATAAGCTGGTTATTCTCATTAGATGTTGATTGTCCCAACCCTGAGCTACTGGAATTAAAGTGCTTTTAAAGCACAAAAATAGTCAAATATAGTGATCATCTTGCTGCAGCAAAGTCCTGTGAGACTGCTAACTGTGGGGTATAATTAAGATCTGGTAATCTGTGAGAAAAGTATTCTAATTAAAACATTAAACAGTATTTTTACTGTTACTGGCCTTTCAACTACCTGGGTTTTTTTGTTCTGTTGCCACTGGGCTGATGTGCTGTGTCTGACTGTAAATAATTGTCTATGATGTAATAACAAATGTGTTTATTTTTTCTCCTAAGCAACAGTAGCTAAAGGTGCATGTGGCAGAGGTGATGTTCCTTTGTCCCTGTGTCTATGCAAACACAAACATCATGAATTAGAAATGTTCAGTCATCAGGTTTGGGGGGAGAAATCAGAGTTTAAATTCTTAAGTTCTTCACTTTGATTAGTGAAAAAACATTTTTGAGCTTTTTATATCTCTTTATATCTCTTAAAATTGTGAAGTGCTGTATCAAAGGTTATATTTTTATTCTTTCATGTAACTGCATTTTGGGGAAGTTTCTCAAAGGAAAGGAAGTTGGAGATGATGTGCAGTCTTTGTAGCCTGTGGTTGCAGAAGCCAGAATTAAAATTGTTCCAGTTGAGATGAAATGTAAGACAGTGATGAGGCTAAATTGATATCCCTGAGAAAATACAGAACTGAAGACTTCAGCTTTTAAGGTCTTAGTCCTTTATCCTTAGGTCATAGAGAAGATGTTGTAAGAGATTTGGGAGAAAGATATGGGTATTTAGAATGTTTTTTTTGTTTTCTCTTGCTTCCCATGGCTGGTTTGTCTGCAGCACTCTGAACACTTGGGACAAATGTTCTCACCTTTCTCCTTGAGCATTTTGCTGTTTTTTCTGAGAGACACTCAGAACAGAGCATGTGGGTTTTTCTGCCTATTTTTTAATGAGGAAAAAAAAGCGCCTTATTTAGAACTTCCCCAGGCTGCTACATGAGAGCAGTTTAAGGGGTAGCTGGAATCATCTTTTGGTTCAGCTGAGTGTCATCTAAATGGAATTAATTGTGCTCCAGATCAGGCAGAACAAGGAGAGTGTTGTATCTCAGCAAGCAGATAGTAGAAGTTCCCCTATGGATAAAGCATCTTAATTGCAGACACTTTTTAATTACAGAGAATAAACCTGAAGATAAACCAGCATACTTGGACAGAAGATTTCTTCCTTTACTTTCCTGTGCCTCTTTCCTGCTTTGTGTGTTCCTGGGTTTGTAAGCTCTCAGGCAAGATCTGGGGTCAGGACTTTTGCTTCCACTGAAGTTGCTGGCAGGTGATACTGTCAGCTATGATTTTAGCTAAGACAGCTTTCACAGACATCAATCTAATCTCTAGCTGAAGCTGCCAGCTATTTTTAGTGACTAGAAAATAATGCCAATCTCATGAAAAATGTCCATTTTTTCAAATACAGGTTGTATAAATGGTTTAGGAAACAGAGTGTCAGTTATCTGGTGTTTATGTCTGTGTTAGTGCTGCTTTGAAGCATTGAGTACACAGCAGCAATGATGGACCTCAAAGGGCTCTCCAAAGCATTCATTCCTTGAAAACTTATTTAAAGGCTGGAAAACACGTAGGCTTGAAAGGATATTAAAAATCTAGGATTAGGCCATTTTTAAACCTCTTGATTTTTGGGTCTGTTAGGAGATCTACCAAGACTGTGTAACCTTCCTGCAGCAAGATGTGCAACATTGGTCACTTGTCAACCCCTATAAAGTTTAATAAAAGAGAAAAAAGAGTAATGAAAAGCATCCATTACTGAATGGATGCAGAGGGGTGTTTTAGAATTCAGATGGTAATTTTTTTCTACTATGTTCTGTACTTTCTAAGAGTGTTTTAGTATTTACTGTTCTCATTTTCCTTCCTTATTTTAGTTGTGATTTTAGCTGTAGTTTTTTGTGTTTTAGCACAAAATGTAATACTGGTTTCCAAATCAGACTGATAGACTTTAAAATGATCTAAACTTGTTTTCAGAACATTCAGGGAGAGGTGATCCACATCTGGCATGACCTCAGGTCAGAGGACAGCTAGAGCCCTGCGGTGTCGAGGAGGGATGGGAAATTTGAAACACTAGAGATCTCTGTAAAATCATGCACAGCGTAGGGTGTTTAATATTAGACTCCTCGTATTGAAAACCTAGCAAATAAAACCCAATCGATGCATCAAGAAAAGCAGGAGGAGGTTCAAAGCCAGCAGTGGGAGATGTTTTCAGTCAGTGTGTAATGAAATTGTGAAGCTCTTTGCCCAGGACATCATAAATGCCAAAGGTTTATAGGGTCTTTGAAAGCAATCAAGATTTATTTTTTGGGCGGGAGTAAAACCCCATGGGTGACTTCCTGCCATGCTCTCTGGGACAGCCTAGAGCTGCTAGGTTGTCCTGGGAAAGAGCCACTGTGTGTTTGCATTGCTTTGATACCCTCTCCTGAGGTGTGCTGGTGGCCCTGTCATAGCTGGGGAGTTGGGCAGGGGGAGGATGACCAAGGAGGGCCATTCTTAACTTCTCCAGCAAGGTGAGGTGCCTGGAAAAGTGATAATTAATTCTGAGGAGCAGGGAGAGGCTGGACTGGAGGAGTTACTCCATGTCTGAATATTGGCAAGATTAGATATGACTTCTCTGACTTGAACAGGTTATGCCTTTGACTAATCTGTCAGATATTCTCAAACCCTAGGGTCATTAGAGGGACTCACCACTGCTGGGCAGGACAGGCTAAAGAAAAGGACCAAAAGCACATCTTTGCCTTCAGCCCAAGAAGGTGTTTCTTTTTCTTACAGACTGGTGACTCTCTGGGTTGAAAGAAACACAGGTCCTTTTGGTTTGCACAGAAAGTCCTTTTCCTTCCATTGCGTCCTTGGGTTTGGATCACCTCCATGATGTGGAAGCTTGCCTTCTTTCATGGTCTCTTGGCTTGACTCGGTCTGCTAGCTCCCTGCTTGCTTTCTCTCCTAGTTTCTTCCACCCTGCAGGTTCTCCAAAACTAACAAGCCTAGTAGCTCTCAGGCAAGGAGTAGTTTTTTTCTCTTCTCTTGTAAATGAGATAAGGTAAGCCTGCAAGTTTCCTTTCTCCTCCCTACAAGTCCCCTCCTCTCCTTCAGGGGTTTGTTTCCCCTACCTGGGCTGTAAGATGGATTAAGGAGTTCCTCCAACTGCCATGCTTACATTCAAAAATTCCTTTTTTCCATATTCTGCTGGAGTCTATTCAACTGCTGCTTTCCTTCTGTGATTTCCACAGGCACTGGTAGTTGTCGTCTTGTAAAAAGAAAGATAAAACCAGAGACCATTAATTACTGTTAATGTTTAGCCTAAAAGTCGTGTTGGTCAATAACAAATTCCTGGTGCCACCAGTCAGGGCAATGTTCCAGAAGTGATGTTTTTAGGTGAGATCTAATTTTTTGAGATTACAGCTTCAGGTAAGAAACTCACTTTCAGGAAAGATTTAAAAATTCCCTCTGTTGTCCTTAGATTCCTGCACTGTATACATATATTTACATAAAGATTCTATGCATGAACACTGTTTATTGACAGCTGTGGCTCTATAACTCACATTCTGCAGGCAATATGTGTGTGGCCTTTACTTGGTTAAATGTAGCAGATTTCTAGCAATGAAAAGTGTCAGAATATTTAGTATTTCAATTCCTGACCGAACTTCGTTGACTGAAATTGAATGTTCAGTACTGTCCAATACTCTGTTGCACTTCCCGTGATGTAACAAAATGTGTTCCTACTTTGGCCTTTTCTTTTCAGCTTTTTTTTTCTTCTGTTTTTTCTCTTTGAGCACCGAAAGGAGTAACCTATCGAGCTTTTGCTGGAGGATGTTATAAATGAAAATTTAGTAACCATTCCATCGGCTTTGTAACCTGGGCCAAGTGATGTGTGCATGGAAGGGGATTCTTAGGGAAGACAGAGAGTGTGACTGAAATTTCTCACTGTGAAAGAGCTTCCACATTGGTTTCCTTTCAACTGATGTTTATCACCTCGGATTGGTGTAGGTGTAGTATAGATATTTTGAAGTTTTGGAACAGCAGAGTTAGAAATACTTGACCTACTAAATTTGCCTTTTCATTCACAAATAGGGAAAGCACAAATAATGAATTTTCTTAGTTTCTTTATCAAGGTAAAAATGAGTTATTTGAAGTCATAGCAAATTTACTTTCTTAAATATAGCTCTGACATACCATTCCCCTAAATTTCTATTTTTATTAAACTGATATTATATTGCCTTTTTTTGCCCCCATTAAAATAGCATCATTGTGAGTGTGCAGCTTTTGTCACACTTCTGTTCTGCATAGCCCTAAGAGAGGCTCTTTATAACGCATTTGGGGCTTGGAACTGACAGCAATTTTCTTAGTTGGCAAGAAATTATGCTTATAAAGGACAAATGTAGGATGTTTTTAATTGAAGACTGTGTGGAAATATATCAAGTAGTCTTGTGGTCATGCTGGCACAGCAGCAGCTGTAGTTCCTGAGCAGATTGGGGTGAGGTGAAATGAATGTTTAGGAAAGGTAAAAAAGGATTGAATTTGGAAAATATGGAATAGCTAAAGAGAAGCAAAGGTATTTGAACACTCAGTGATTGTACTACCAAAAAGCTGCCTGATTTTTCATTGCTCAGGTTTTATTTATGTAATTTTTTTGATTTGAGCAACTAAAATCACTGAGGAAAAAAAGTTACATGACTAAAATAGGAGTAAAATAGAATTAAATCTCTGAGCATTGGTCTTGAACATCCATTTTTCTTTTACTAATGGTAGTTGTTTGTTTTATGGGCTCATGCTGCTATAGCTTATACTTCTGGTTTAAAACATTTTTCAGGCTAAATGTAATTGATAAGTAAAAGTTTTGTTCCAACATAATTTAAAGGAAAAAAGATGAGGCTGCAGTGGTGTTTTCCTCTATGACTGTCTCAAATGTGTAGTTCAAAGATTGAGTGCATCATTTCTTGAATTACTGAGAGGTCGTATTATTCTCTCTGATCCTATTGCAAAGATATTTAACCTGTGATCACACATCACTTAACCAGTTACAAAGAGAGATAAAGGAATCTATAAATTTTGCATTTACAAGATCCTGCACCGAAGGCATTGTAAGTTACTCTTTCTGGGCACCGCAGGTTCGAGCAGCACTGATGTTAAAGAAAACCGCAACGTGGACAACGTTCCTCCCAAGGACAGCGGTGGGCAAGGGGCCGGGGAGGGGACGCAGCTCTCCAACGGTGGTGGCAGCAGCAGCAGGAAGAGACCTTTGGAGGAGGGCAACAATGGCCATTCCAAATTCCGCCCAAAGAAGAGGAAGAAAACGCCCGGCCCTGTTCTGCCAAAGAACGCCCTGATGCAACTGAATGAGATTAAACCCGGTTTACAGTACAAACTCCTCTCCCAGACAGGGCCAGTCCATGCCCCCATGTTCGTGATGGCAGTTGAAGTCAATGGGCAGGTATTTGAGGGGTCTGGCCCAACGAAAAAGAAAGCCAAACTTCATGCAGCCGAGAAGGCACTGCGGTCTTTTGTCCAGTTCCCAAACGCCTCAGAAGCCCATCTGGCAATGGGAAGGACTCTGTCGGTCAACACGGACTTCACATCTGACCAAGCAGACTTCCCCGACACCCTTTTCAATGGATTTGAAACGCCAGTCCCTTCCGATGCTTCCTTTTATGTTGGGTCCAACGGGGATGGGTCCTTTAGCTCCAGTGGGGACTATGGTTTGCCGTCGTCTGCTGTAGCCAGCAGCCTTTCCCAGTCACCTCTCCCCCCTCCATCACCCTACCCCACTGCCAGTGGAAAGAACCCTGTCATGATCCTCAACGAGCTGCGGCCAGGGCTGAAGTACGAATTTCTCTCAGAGAGCGGAGAGAGCCACGCCAAAAACTTTGTCATGGCTGTGGTGGTGGATGGTCAGACTTTTGAAGGCTCGGGAAGGAATAAAAAGCTGGCAAAAGCTCGGGCTGCTCAGTCGGCCCTGGCATCCTTGTTTAACATGCAGCTGGACCAGACTCCATCTCGACAGCCCATTCCCAGCGAGGGGCTCCAGTTACACTTGCCACAGGTGAGAAACCCTGTGGAGGTTTTTGGAAGTTTCAGGTAATGGCCAAGAGCTGCCAAGTCATGCATGTTGAGTCAGTTTGAATAGCATTTCTGCTGTGGATGTGGCACTTAGTGCCATGGTCTAATAACCACAGTAGGGTTGGACTCAATGATCTTTGAGGTCTCTTCCAACCCAGTTGATTCTATGATTCCATGTGTGCAGATATATATATGTGTGTATGTATGTGTGAGGTGATTTATACACTTATGGCTTCTGACAGTTACATGAGCTCTTTGTGTTCTCTTGAGCAGAGAAGAGGCTTTGTTACTGATATTTTCAGGCTTGATCGTGTTGCGTAAGAGAGCACCAAGCCCGAGCACAGTGCCAGCTTGGATTATGGTTTGTGCTGAACAAAGTTTCAATTGCATCCTGCTCATCTCAGGCAGAAAGATTTAGATTGAGTCCAAGTCAGAATTGCTACTTTAAGTAAAACACTTATTTGATACAACAGCTTTTAGGAGAGAAGAAAATTATTCTCTCCTGTAAACTGAAATTGTTGGCATCAACAGAGCTGAGCAATAGAAGTCAAGGTCACATTAAGTGAGGCTGATGCAGTTGCCACTGATTTGCTGGGTCTAAATAAGCAACACACTTGAAGTGCACATATCTGAGATGTGTGGTTCAGTTGCTGTCATCTGAAGGGTTGTGCCTGAGCTAATGAATTGATGTGCACAGGGAAGATTCTTAGGCAAATAAATCTGGATGAGCAATAATTTAAAACCAAGTAATTAATGAACTAGGAAAAGTATCCAACATACCATACATAGACCAGAAATTTAAAGCAGCTAGAATGAAGGGATTTTAAAATATTTTAATGAGGAAAAGATCTCCCTTATTTTCTTACTGGTGATTCTCCCCAGTCAAGCTACACTAATGATTGTTTGACTATCATCTTTCTCCTGTATCTCTCAGGGCTTTTTTATGATATTATGTACAAGTCTAACTTCAAACATTTGCCAGTGACTTTTTTGCAGCTTTCTGTTTATTACAAGATTTTCAAGGCTTTGGCCTTTTCTATCTGGAAAATATTGATATAGGTTTCATTAAAATTCTAAGATGCTCTTCAGGTTTGATAATATGAGGTCCAAGAGTATAAGTAGATGTTGTGAATGTTTAAATATATTATTTTCTCAAAATGTATGGACGAAGGTGCTCGGTCCTGCACTTTGGCCATACCAATC